TAATTAATATTTATGCGTTAAATAGCACTTATGTTACATGCAATAATTATTTAACAAGACGTGAATTGATTCATGCACGTAATACCGCCCACGTGACGTCACGCCACGGGGAAATTACCCAACAATTACCTACGATTCTTGAATTTAATGTTATGATTGAATTATTAAATCTAGTGAAAATACCACAGCAACAGAAAACGCATCTTCCCGGTGTATATACAATTATATGTATATGGATTATATTAAGTGTGACTTGGTGGGGAAATTTCCCACACCGGCTCCAGCCTCGAGCAGATAGTTCGTGGTGTGTGTAAATGGAAAGGTCTATGAAGATGCGCGGGTAATCAGCGGGAGTAACTTCAACACTGTGAACACCACACACTAGAAGGTGAAGGGACGACGACGTTCCGGTCCGTCCTGGACCATTCTCAAGTCGATTGAATGGTCATTCTCAATCGACTTGAGAATGGTCCAGGACGGACTGAAACGTCGTCGTCCCTTCACCTTCTAGTGTGTGGTCTGGTCAACTTACTTTAGCCACGTTATTGTGACTCATCGCCAGCACAGGCCTCATTTCACCCCGTGCTTAAGTCAGACTTGATGAAAATCTCTCGTGGGGGTCTTCGGTTATACACTATATTTTTTTAAGTATGTAACTTAGTCATACTCTGACTAGCCTATGTCAGTCCCATACCCCTGACCGTTCCCCTTACAAATTTGGGCGAGGCTAACCGCCAGCATCTGGTCTCCATCTTTGGACAGCGTCTATTATGGTATAGATTTAGGTATATCTGCCTGCAACTATATAACGAAGCACTGAAATTGCTAAATATGTCTACGCCGAGCAATGTTTTAAAGTTATCGGCATCGAGTAAGCAAGAACCAGGGAGGGTCCGTCAGGGAGGATGAGTTCGATGCCGATATTTCTTAAATTGTGGCACTGAGGCCGACCCTAACTGCCCTAACTGCTTCTCCAGCTTTGGACAGACTCATTTTATAGTTAAGATATATATTAATATATTTTGCTTTACAATTTACAAAAATAAATATGTAACCTTTTCTTTCCAAATAAAATTATATTGCATTACTAAAATGAAACTTTACAATACTTGATTGTTATTAATCATAATTTAAGCAATTTCAATTATTATTACAAACGAAAAATTTATGGTTATTAAATGTTAAATATTCGTATTACGAATTGAAAATTATGAATAAATTGATCTAGATTCTCGATAACAATTCCGATTAATCGTCACCATCACTAATTGTCACAAATGTGTTTATTAAAAAAAATTAATTTTAATCATTTTGACTCTTCAAATTCCATTTCTACAAGTTAATTAATCCCGTCAACTCCTAGACAATCAAGTGTTAATAATTATTACAACTCTTACTAGAAATTGAAGATTGAATTATTTATAACATTCTCACGAAGCCTGGAGCTAGTTTAGTGGGAAGGGCAGTATCAGGGCGAAAGAGCCAAGCCATTACGACTATATAACACTGGGAAGGGGTCAGGATAAGGATTTGGGATGGGACGGGGGGGAAAGGAATGGTGCCCAACTACTTGTGGACGGTCGGGGATAGAACGCCGACCTGCATAAAGCGAGACCGTCGCCCTACCGTCCAGCCTATCCCCACGTGTTAGTGGGAAACAGCATTAATATAAAATCATGTTTGTAACGCTAACCAAATTCGAATTTAAAGATCATTCGACAAACACAAACGTACTTGTAATAATTTATTTATATAAGAGTTCGAACAAGTCCTTACTCCTGTGTTCCCTGGAATACGACCCCCACGAAGAATCGTTGTTACAACCAAGTACCCATTTTACGGTAGAGTTAAACAGAGGCTACAGTTAAGGATTTGCGCCCAGTCAATCCTCCCCGGCCGGGATACGAACCCAGAACAAAGGGCTAGCGAAACGCCAGGCGAGTGTCTTAACCACTACACCAAGAAGACAATTGTTGAAAATGGCGGCTGGCGGGAGTGGGTAAAACAGGTGACAATAGAGGCAGAGCAACCGCCAGACATGTGACATGTTATGTCTCCCAGGTGACATGACATGTGACATGTTATGTCTCCCAGGTGACGGAGACAACTGCCAATGGTCTGGAGACTGGTAGAGGTGGGGTGGGGGGCGGTGGGGGGGGGGGGGGGGGGGGGGGGGGGGGGGGGGGGGGGGGGGGGGGGGGGGGGGGGGGGGGGGGGGGGGGGGGGGGGGGGCGCGGGGGGGGGAGTTTATACAGTGGCAATCATCACAACAATTCCCTCAAGTGAGCATCACCGCTGCCTCAGGATCTCATCTAACATGATATTGCTCTTGCGTCCGTGCACCCCCCCCCCCGGCACCACGCCAGATCCGCCCCCCTCCCCCCCGGCACCACTCGCACAAAACACACTTCAAAACAACTAACACACAACACAAACAAAGCAACAGAGGCACGCCGAGTGTTTCAACTCGCATCAACACAACACCCTCACTGCTATCACATAACTTCCCGCCAATTATCAAAAAAACTTCCCGCCAATTTTCAATCAAAATTTCCCGCCAAATTCAAAAAAAGTAACCGACATGAGTCGAGAGGAAAAAATGCGGAGACGATACCGAGGGTGAGAGCGTTTACATAAAGGCACTTTATAGGACCATTGGGTCGAGGACCTGAATTCCCACAATCGACAGGTCTTGCAAGGTCCGGACCCTAAGGACCTCGTCAATATCGAGTGTCCACCGCTGCCAGACTGTCCCCGTGGCCACCCGTGGGCCCCCGTGGGCCCCCGTGGCCACCCGTGGGCCCCCGTGGCCACCCGTGGCCCCCCGTGGCCACCCGTGGCCCCCCGTGGCCCCCCGTGGGCCCCCGTGGCCACCCGTGGCCCCCCGTGGCCCCCCGTGGGCCACCGTGGCCCCCCGTGGCCCTCAAGGAGACTCATGCAAAACACACCACTGTCGCCATTCTATTCTGTTTAAATTTCTGTTGGGCGGATGTTGTCGATAAAGGAATGAAGTCGCGGATAACCTGAATGGGATTTGTTTTTGACTTCAGAGGATTTTCAAAATATCGTGTCAATAGTTTTTTTGTGTTTTGTTTCCCACATTCTAGCGTCGCTCAGACGGCAGTTTGTGACTATTACAGATGGTGTTCGACGGGTTGGGTCACATGGACGGTGCTGGGGCGGCCCCCGGGGGCCAGTCACCAGGTGACTAGGAAGGCCCGTCACACAGTCACCAGGTGACTAGGAAGGCCCGTCACACAGTCACCAGGTGACTAGGAAGGCCCGTCACACAGTCACCAGGTGACTAGGAAGGCCCGTCACACAGTCACCAGGTGACTAGGAAGGCCCGTCACACAGTCACCAGGTGACTAGGAAGGCCCGTCACACAGTCACCAGGTAACAGAGAGACCCGTCACACAGTCACCAGGTAACAGAGAGACCCGTCACACACCAGTTACTAGGAACCATACACATCAAGACATTGACTAGCGTGTGTTCCCCCAATCTTGGTCCGGTCGGTACAATGATGGCTTGGCCTCTTGCAGGTCCGTGTTCGAACCCTCGATGAACCAGATGATTTAGGGGGACCATTCCTTCCCTCCGTCCAGCCCCAGCTCCTGGTCCCTCCCCTCCCATATCCCTTCACGGTGATAGTCATACCATTATATATATCTCCATTGTTTATGATATTAATGGTAACGGTAGCCACCTGCCACAGGTAACGGTAGCATGAGGCTACCTCCCCCTGCTAAACCCCCCATCCTCTCTCATTCCTCTCAATGATGCCTCCTTGCCAGCACTGACGGTCCCCCACACGCCCTTTCCACTAACTGCTCAATGCATCAACTATTTACCTCTCGGTGCAGTCCTGTATAGGCCAGGGGACAACAGCGCCATCTATAGTGTCCCACGGCGCCACAACCGTGACGTCAAGCCAGAGCGGGAATATTTGGCGGGAACAAGAGCGGGAATATTTGCCGGGAACAAGAGCGGGAATATTTGGCGGGAACAAGAGCGGGAATATTTGGCGGGAACAAGAGCGGGAATATTTGGCGGGAACAAGAGCGGGAATATTTGGCGGGAACAAGAGCGGGAATATTTGGCGGGAACAAGAGCGGGAATATTTGGCGGGAACAAGAGCGGGAATATTTGGCGGGAACAAGAGCGGGAATATTTGGCGGGAACAAGAGCGGGAATATTTGGCGGGAACAAGAGCGGGAATATTTGGCGGGAACAAGAGCGGGAATATTTGGCGGGAACAATAGCGGGAATATTTGGCGGGAACAAGAGTGGGAATATTTGGCGGGAACAAGCGCGGGAACATTTGGCGGGAACAAGCGCGGGAACATTTGGCGGGAACAAGAGGGTAGACTAGTGAGAACGCTTGCTTGAGGGTGGGCATCCTGGGTGAGTGGCGGGTGGTCTGGGCTCTGATGGAACACTTCCTCAACACACTCGCTCAACACAACGTGTTACTGCCCTCTAGTACCTACTGGGGCAGGGGATTACTACCCCCACTAGCACCTACTGGGGCAGGGGATTACTACCCCCACTAGCACCTACTGGGGCAGGGGATTACTACCCCCACTAGCACCTACTGGGGCAGGGGATTACTACCTCCACTAGCACCTACTGGGGCAGGGGATTACTACCCCCACTAGCACCTACTGGGGCAGGGGATTACTACCCCCACTAGCACCTACTGGGGCAGGGGATTATTGCCCTGTAACACCATAAAGGTGTTTGTGTTTTATTTAATACTATACATACAAGGAGAGTCAGTCAGACAGGATACTTGGGGCGACACATTGTCTGGCCCTGGTAATTAAGAAGTCATACCTAGAGTAGTTAATGACCACAAGTTGACCAAGGGTCAGGTCGTGTGACGTGACCTGGCTTCTGCTAAGCTGAAGAAGAAGCTTATATACAATTCATGTTTGGCTAATTGGACTTGTGGAAAACTTGTACCAGGCGTGACAACTCCGAGGCAGTAGGAAGAGTCACTGAGGATACTGTGAATAATCAGCCATATGGTGTACTGGGCGAGGCCTCCCATACTCGGGGTTCTTGGCACAATACTCGGGGTTCTTGGCACAATACTCGGGGTTCTTGGCACAATACTCGGGGTTCTTGGCACAATACTCGGGGTTCTTGGCACAATACTCGGGGTTCTTGGCACAATACTCGGGGTTCTTGGCACAATACTCGGGGTTCTTGGCACAATACTCGGGGTTCTTGGCACAATACTCGGGGTTCTTGGCACAATACTCGAGGTTCTTGGCACAATACTCGGGGTTCTTGGCACAATACTCGGGGTTCTTGGCACAATACTCGGGGTTCTTGGCACAATACTCGGGGTTCTTGGCACAATACTCGAGGTTCTTGGCACAATACTCGAGGTTCTTGGCACAATACTCGGGGGTTCTTGGCACAATTATCGGGCATAATAGTAGTATATTTGGATTCAAAATTTCACATTAATGACAAAACAAAGCTAAAACTGCTTTGGGTGAAGCAAGAGGACTCCACAACCTTGACACACAACACAACTACACCCCTAACAGGGCTCCAGTGCGTCCACATCTTTAATACATTTCAGTACCACTACACACCTTGACACCTTTAAGAAAACCTACATCAGACTACCTGCGATGTCACACACATCAAGGGAATAATCACGACAGATGAAGATAGAGACTACAGGACGACCTCGATAAACTGGAGGAATGGTCTAGAAAATGGCTACTAAAGTTTAACTCGGGAAAGTGTAAAGTAATGAAATTAGGCGAAGGGAGCAGGAGGCTGAACACAAGGTATCATCTGGGAGATGAAATCCTGCAAGAGTCAAATAGAGAGAAAGATCTGGGGGATGATATCACACCAAACCTGTCCCCAGAGGCCCACATCAATAGGATATCATCAGCGGCATATGCTAGACAAGCCAACATAAGAACTGCCTTTAGAAACTTCTACAAGGAATCTTTCAGGACCCTGTATACCACTTATGTAAGACAAATCCTGGAGTATGCAGCTCCAGCCTGGAGTCCATACCTAATTAAACACAATACAAAGTTAGAGAAGATTCAGAGGCCTGCCACCACCAGACTGGTCCCGGAACTGAGAGATGTGAGTTATAAGGAAAGGCTACGGGAGCTAAACCTCGCGTCCGTGGAAGACAGAAGCGTCAGGACAAAGACAAAGCACTGGTGGGACACGAACAAGGGGACACAGGTGGAAACGTAGTACCCAAATGAGCCACAGAGACTCCCTCGACCCCCTCCCCCCCATAACATGCTTTCTTCCCGCCTTTTTCCACCCCGCCCAGCGAGGCGCCCTCCCGCCCGCCTGCTGCCCCTGCCACCTTAGTCCGCCTTGGCAATGTACATTGCCCATTTTGCCCTGAGAATTTTTACACATTTTGGTGCAGTCTACCTCCATTAGTAGAGGGGGGGGGGAGGTGAGAGGAATTGGGTGGTGGGGAGATGGGGGGGGAGGGGATTAGGAGCCTGGGAGGGGAGGGTAGGGGGTGGGGGGTTAAATGTTACCTCTTCATGGTAATTCCTGTGTTCGGGCGATATTCTTGTTCCCCCAAAACTGTTGCCTGTAGCTAAGTGCCCCATTCCCGCTTGCCTGCCGTAGGGGGATATACCTGCCTGCCTCCTGCCTGCTTGTCTGCTACCTGCCTGCCTCCTGCTTGCTTGTCTGCTCCCTGCCTGCCTCCTACTTGCTTGTCTGCTCCCTGCCTGCTTCCTGCTTGCTTGTCTGCTCCCTGCCTGCCTCCTGCCTGCTTGTCTGCTACCTGCCTGCCTCCTGCTTGCTTGTCTGCTCCCTGCCTGCCTCCTGCTTGCTTGTCTGCTCCCTGCCTGCCTCCTGCTTGCTTGTCTGCTCCCTGCCTGCCTCCTACTTGCTTGTCTGCTCCCTGCCTGCCTCCTGCTTGCTTGTCTGCTCCCTGCCTGTCTCCAACTTGCTTGTCTGCTCCCTGCTTGCCTCCTACTTGCTTGTCTGCTCCCTGCCTGCCTCCTGCTTGCTTATCTGCTCCCTGCTTGCCTCCTACTTGCTTGTCTGCTCCCTGCCTGCTTCCTGCTTGCTTGTCTGCTCCCTGCCTGCCTCCTGCTTGCTTGTCTGCTCACTGCCTGCCTCCTGCTTGCTTGTCTGCTCCCTGCCTGCCTCCTACTTGCTTGTCTGCTCCCTGCCTGCCTCCTGCTTGCTTGTCTGCTCCCTGCCTGCTTCCTGCTTGCTTATCTGCTCCCTGCTTGCCTCCTACTTGCTTGTCTGCTCCCTGCCTGCCTCCTACTTGCTTGTCTGCTCCCTGCCTGCCTCCTACTTGCTTGTCTGCTCCCTGCCTGCCTCCTACTTGCTTGTCTGCTCCCTGCCTGCCTCCTGCTTGCTTGTCTGCTCCCTGCCTGCCTCCTGCTTGCTTGTCTGCTCCCTGCCTGCCTCCAACTTGCTTGTCTGCTCCCTGCCTGCCTCCTGCTTGCTTGTCTGCTCCCTGCCTGCCTCCTACTTGCTTGTCTGCTCCCTGCCTGCCTCCTACTTGCTTGTCTGCTCCCTGCCTGCCTCCTGCTTGCTTGTCTGCTCCCTGCCTGTCTCCAACTTGCTTGTCTGCTCCCTGCCTGCCTCCTGCTTGCTTGTCTGCTCCCTGCCTGCCTCCTGCCTGCTCGCCACTTGGGGGTCGCCTGGATCTACTACTTACGACTACTTGCTCCTATGCTGCTCGGGCCTTGCTGTACACTGTCCGCGTCTAAGACTTACCTTACTGCTTGCCTGCTGGCTGGGGCTACTTTTCTGCTTCTTGGGGCTGCCTGTCTACCTGTCTACCTCCTTCCTGCTGGGGGCTGCCTGTCTGCTGGGGGCTGCCTCTTTGCCTGCCTGCTGGGGGCTGCCTCTCTGCCTGCCTGCTGGTGGCTGCCTGTCTGCCTGCCTGCTGGGGGCTGCCTGTCTGCTGGGGGCTGCCTGCCTGCCTGCCTGCTGGGGGCTGCCTGTCTGCTTGTTAAGGAATATCTATCAGTCTACCGAAGGACAAGTAGAAGGACAAGTCAGATCTGCTGCACCATTCATTATTCCAGGCTCTTGCCTGCTTCCTGGGACTTACTGCTATCTGGAACTACCTCTCAGGCTGCCTGGAACTACCTCTCAGGCTGCCTGGAACTACCTCTCAGGCTGCCTGGAACTACCTCTCAGGCTGCCTGGAACTACCTCTCAGGCTGCCTGGAACTACCTCTCAGGCTGCCTGGAACTACCTCTCAGGCTGCCTGGAACTACCTCTCAGGCTGCCTGGAACTACCTCTCAGGCTGCCTGGAACTACCTCTCAGGCTGCCTGGAACTACCTCTCAGGCTGCCTGGAACTACCTCTCAGGCTGCCTGGAACTACCTTCCCGGCTGTTACCTGGGACTATACTTCCCCCTGGCTGCTACCCTAAGACTTCCTTCCTGATTGTTCCTGCCACTTAGCCACAGCTATACAATCATGTCACCGTTACTCGTCTAGCAATTTCCGTGCTGCTTGTCGCTGGGTATTCCGTGGGGCTCCTCTTACCTCTAGCTCCCAACCCTGCCAGACCCTCACCGTCAAACACACTGTTATTGCCGGCAAGTGGCAGGGCACCAACCGGTTGTAACCAGCATGCCTTGAAGCCCCCGTCATTGCTGGGTTCCAGCTCTCTGATTGGGCGCCCTAGATCACCTCCGTCGCATTCCCTAGCCTTGTTGGCCGGGGCCCAGACCTGCTCTGTTGTCGTCGACCAATGCTGACTGACCCCACATTGTGAGAGAGAGAGAGAGAGAGAGAGAGAGAGAGAGAGAAAGAGAGAGAGAGAGCCAGAGAGAGAGCCAGAGAGAGAGCGCCAGAGAGAGAGCGCCAGAGAGAGAGCCAGAGCCAGAGCCAGAGCCAGAGCCAGAGCCAGAGCCAGAGCGAGCGCGCACACCACGACAATTAACCTTTCCATTACCAGTAAAATAAAAATATAAAAATTAAAAAAAAAAGAAAACAAGAAACCAACGGTCGGAAACCTGCAAATGTCAAGCCAATATTTAAAAAAAGGCGCGAAAAACTCATCGAATTATCGCCTAATGCGCCTGACGTCAGTCTTTTGAAATATCACTGTAGCCAATCAGAGCGGCGACTGTCAACAATTTTGAAGACTACATTATACTAATGGTTCTCGTAATAAAAATTCTGAACGAATATATTCGAAATTTTTAAAGACAGACTGAGACTAAAAATTCTTATTATATTTAATCTATTGCGATTTAAAAATACAGAAATTCAATAATTTTTTTAGAGAATAGATCCTTGTACCCGTATCCTTGTTAATGCAGTCGGGTACATCAAGAATACATCGTTTAGCCTATCCTATATACAATTTTGAAAATAAATTTAAAACAGCAATAATACATTACAAAAATAACAATATATAATTGAAAATAACAATTCTATGAGCTCGAAAGTGTAAAAATTAAGAGTTCAAAATTGTAAAAAAAAAAAAAAAGCGGGAAAATTTATGAAAACAAAAAAGCCATTGACAGTTTGGAAACATTATTTGAAATGTTCCCGAATGTAAATCAATGGTCTTGGAGCCCTACAATATTAACCGCGAAAACCGGAATGTTTGCGAAACCATTAGCAGAGGTAACGGGAGACGGATCGTGGAGTGGTCATTAGCAACTAGCTCAGACCCCACAAAACAATGTTGAAGCAATAGGCTGCCAAACTGCCCCCATGAGAGAGCTCTATTGACGAGGCTCGCGGCCGGTCCACGTAATTATGGTCGAGGCAACAACAGCTCTATTTGTATATTCTACAGCTGTATCATTCGGAATATTGCTCGTAACAGCCTGATTAATTGCTCCTAAAACTATTGTAACGTGCTGGAATCTATTCGACAACTAATATTTAGTATGATGGAATTCAATACATATATTCTCCTGTATTGCAAGTCAAGGTAGCTGCTGGGAGTCGGTTCTCCCCCGACCTGCTGGGAGTCGGTTCTCTCAGCAGCTGCTGGGAGTCGGTCCTCCCCCCCAGAGCTGCTTGGAATCGGTCCTCGCCCCCGACCTGCTGGGAGTCGGTCCTCGCCCCCGACCTGCTGGGAGTCGGTCCTCGCCCCCGACCTGCTGGGAGTCGGTCCTCGCCCCCGACCTGCTGGGAGTCGGTCCTCGCCCCCGACCTGCTGGGAGTCGGTCCTCGCCCCCGACCTGCTGGGAGTCGGTCCTCGCCCCCGAGCTGCTGGGAGTCGGTCCTCGCCCCCGAGCTGCTGGGAGTCGGTCCTCCCCCCGAGCTGCTGGGAGTCGGTCCTCCCCCCGAGCTGCTGGGAGTCGGTCCTCCCCCCGAGCTGCTGGGAGTCGGTCCTCCCCCCGAGCTGCTGGGAGTCGGTCCTCCCCCCGAGCTGCTGGGAGTCGGTCTTTGGTAATAAGACGAATTTTGAATTCAAATAATGTCCTCTTTGCGCACAAGGATCACAGCCAAAAGGTTCAGGTACGATTCTCCCGGCAAAATAGAAGCCTTAGAGCAGAGTTAGAGTTAATTTTCTTTCACCCGAAGCCTCTGTTCACCTATCGATAAATATATATCCGGAAGTTAGACAACTGATGTGTCGGGGTTCTATATTTCAGGTCTGAAATTGCCCATCTATTATGTATAAATATCATTCGCGTTTCTCAGGACGGAATGGGGTTGTTGTACCCATTCCCGGGGAGCCGGTCGGCCGAGCAGACAGCACGCTGGAGTTGTGATCCTGTGGTCCTGGGTTCGATCCCAGGCGCCGGCGAGAAACAATGGGCAGAGTTTCATTCACCCTATGCCCCTGTTACCTAGCAGTAAAATAGGTACCTGGGTGTTAGTCAGCTGCCACGGGCTGCTTCCTGGGGGTGGAGGCCTGGTCGAGGACCGGGCCGCGGGGACACTAAAGCCCCGAAATCATCTCAAGATAACCTCAAGAAGCACGGGCTATGGTGAGCCCGTAGTGCCTTTTTTTTTAGGAATGGGGATTGTTCTACCCATTCCCCTTCCCGGCGGAGTGAAGGGCGACCAGTGCTGCCAGAGTGGGGAGAGGCGCCTCCTGATGGCCTCGGGCTAATTACCCGCAACCACTTGAACAATCGTCATAGCAGGGTGAGCAGCCATCTATTCTGAAGGCTGAGTAAATTCCTGTTAATGGCACAGGTACAGACACACCGATACCCCCCCCCCCACACACACACACTAAACTTTCTCCACCACCAGAACCTCTCCACCTGCTCAAAACCTCCCCACCACCAGAACCTCACCACCTGCTCAAAACCTCCCCACCACCAGAACCTCCCCCAACCCCATCCAAAACCTCCCTACCCCTGGAAGCTCACCACGAAGAAAGAAAATGTGACAAGACCAGAGGGAATCAACACACACTAAGGTAAAAGCAACTAAAGGGTTCTGAAAGCTAATTCTGTCGTTACATTCAGAGGTATGTAATCAGGATACTATTGGCAGGATATCTTGAGATGATTTCGGGGCTTAGAGTCCCCGCGGCCCGGTCCTTAACCAGGCCTCCTTTTTGTTACACACACCCCAGGAAGCAGCCCATAGCCGCTGTCTAACTCCCAGGTACCTATTTACTGCTAGGTAACAGGGGGGCATCAACGTGAAGGACACTTTTTGCCCATTTGTCTCCGCCTCCACCGGGGATCGAACCCGGAACCTCAGGACTACGAATCCGAAACGCTGTCTATTCCGCTGTCAGGCGCCCTTCAGAATAGGTGACAAACAGTAGATCATCATTTAAATAGCTAAACAAATGGCTCTTGCGAGTCACTCTATGCAGCCATATGTGAGGTTAATACTAGAGAATACGCAGTCCCGGCCTGGCAGTCACACTTCGTGAGACCTGAGCTCAACTTGAGAACGTGCAGAGTAGAAAGTTGGTAGAAAGGTAATCAAATTAGGAGGACTAAGCTACGAGGACATCTTAAGGTTACTAAACTCGCAACCGTAAAGTGAAGAAACAGAGGGGAAATAATCACTACATATAAGGTACAAGAGAGGAAATGATCACTACATACAAGGTACAAGAGAGAAAATGATCACTACATACAAGATACAAAAAGGGAAACAAACAAGACAGAGCCTCGTTGTGAGAAAACAGAACGAGACGAGATAAAAGTTGGATATTCACACGAGTGAAAGAAATGCCAGAATGTCCATACCCTGTACGGACGGTCAACAAGCAGAATGCACTGAAGGAAGAAGTTGTGGAAACCACCTCCATCCACAATTATGCAGCTCAAATACTATCTGAAGTAATTAAAGTTAAAAAACATGATAAGTACCAGAAACAATAAGAGTAGTGTAGGCGTTAGGCCTCACTGCTCCGTGGTAATCTAGGGGTAGATTAGAGTAGCCTAAATAGAGTAGAGTAGCCTAAGCTACTCTATCCTTTTGATATGTACTTCCTTTACTCCAATAAACTTACTTGAACTCCGTGGTAAGTGTTTGGTAAGCTACAACATACCTTGCCACCACCTCCTTCCTTGATACATTTGTTCCCTGGGGATTAAAATCAATAGAGTGAAGAGTTATGAGAAAATTGTCAATTAAGAGAGAGTCCTGGAGAGTGCGAGACCCGACAGCACTGATGGACCTCCAACCCAAAATCGCCGCCAGAATAACCTCCGACTCCTGCCTGGCCTCCAAATACTTTTTTTAATATCATCAAAATAGAGATAGCGAAGGGCGTAAAATTGCATCAGGCGCGGACCCTCTCTCGAGCTGGTCAAAAAAATGATGTGCGATGAATACCCGCAAAAATATGACCAATTTCTGCCTTGTTGGGAGCACGGGCCGGCTCGCCCGGCTGAGCTAGCGCCAACGCTGCGAATTATTTTAGCTTGTGGCGCTCGGTAGTAAAACGGAGATGTGATTTTGATAAAGGAAATATGTAGCATGCGTTTGCTCATGGCGGCCCCCCGCCCCAAACTGCCCCCTTCGGCTCCCTGACTACCCGTTAACCACAAACAACATTGAATACCCCTTTCTCAGCCTAACCTCCCTTCTCATTGTGCCGAACATTCCTCCCCTTTCCGTGTCCAGCCGCCCTCCCCGCCGGCCCGCCGCCCTCCCCGCCGGCCCGCTGCCCTCCCCGCCGGCCCGCCGCCCTCCCCGCCGGCCCGCTGCCCTCCCCGCCGGCCCGCCGGCCCGCTGCCCTCCCCGCCGGCCAGCTGCCCTCCCCGCCGGCCAGCTGCCCTCCCCGCCGGCCAGCTGCCCTCCCCGCCGGCCAGCTGCCCTCCCCGCCGGCCCGCCGGCCAGCTGCCCTCCCCGCCGGCCCGCCGGCCAGCTGCCCTCCCCGCAGGCCCGCCACCCCTCCCCGCCGGCCCGCTGCCCTCCCCGCCGGCCCGCCGGCCCGCTGCCCTCCCCGCCGGCCCGCCGGCCCGCTGCCCTCCCCGCCGGCCCGCCGGCCCGCTGCCCTCCCCGCCGGCCCGCCGGCCCGCTGCCCTCCCCGCCGGCCCGCCGGCCCGCTGCCCTCCCCGCCGGCCCGCCGGCCCGCTGCCCTCCCCGCCGGCCCGCCGGCCAGCTGCCCTCCCCGCCGATACAGTTACCACCACCACTACTGCTGGCAGACCTCTCCCCTTATAGATTGTTGATTTTTTGGGGGGGTTTACCGAGGGCATTTT